CAATTCGCTCTCGAAAACAACAAGAAATTGAAATTAAAAACGAACATTAAGACATATTTTCTAAAGTCCAAAATAATCTTACAGAATATTCATCATGTACCAAGAACGCATGTAGTTTTTGGAGAATATGGGCATCAACTTCTTAATTATTTGAACAGTTGTTATTTTACTCCCTTACCATACAAAGATCATATTGAAGCTCGAGAACAATCACAAACTACTGCATCGATTCGAAATAAAATTAAACAATTCAAACTTATTATTCGTGTCACTGATAAAAGTAATAATTTTTATATTGGTTCGACTATTGGATTTGAAAAAAAAGTTCAACAATACTTTACGGATACAAATGCTTTTAGAGTAATCAACGAAAATCCATTACCTGAAATTTTAAACAAAGTCATTCAATTACTAATTAATCTTCGATCAAAAAAACTTATCTTGCAATGGCAATATAATGAAATGATACCTGATCGAAAAACAACTGAATTAGCTCATTTATACTTCAATCCAAAAACACACAAGGTAAGATAGACGTTTTATATTATAATGCAGGGTTGCCAAATCAAAATTTTAGAAAACAGGAGTTTCAAAAAAAAAAGCAGGAGTTTTCCAGGAGAAGTTTTTTCCTAAATCAGTAGGAAAATCAGGAGGTTTTCTATTTTAAGTTGAGAAAATATTAGACGGTTTTCTCGTAGAAAATTCGAACGCTCGCTAACAAAAAATATTTATCTCCTTCGTATCAAGTCGGTGATCAATAATGTAATACACATGATATTATTTTCACTTGAATTTTATCATAAATAATATTTTTTTGCTATACAGAATGATCATGAAAAGCGTTCTTTTAGTTATATTTATTATGTACTCTTGATCAGTTAATATTCTTACCTGTATTATTTCCAAATTAATTTTCATTCTAATCTATCAGCCAAAATTCTTTTTCATTGTAAAGTTTAAGCAAAAGTATTTATACAAATGAATAGAATGATAGAAAGATTCTTGACAGAGTTTGAAAAAAAGACAAGCATTCTTTATCTCTTACATCACTATATGAATCGACTGTACGTGTTTCTTCGCTTGTTTTTGCAACGAGCGGTCTATAGCATTAATATGCTGTAAAAAAAACAAGATAAGCTAATTTTTGACAATGGAAGTTGTTTTTCTCTGAAGCCTTTTATGATTTATTCAGTGAACATTTTATCGATATGGCTATCACTTTTGTTTCTTTACCATTGATATCTTCACTTTTTGTTATTGTCATATATACCTATTCATTCTTTTCATGTTTATAATTCGTGTCAGACTTTGACAACAAAATTAGCAGTGCCCATGAACCTATAACAATTCTCTAATAAAAATGAAACGCAAGAATCTTGCTAAGTTATTCAAGGTATTGTTCTATTCTGAGCTAAGAAGAAGCAGACGTGAATTCCAAGAAATGTAAAAATCTTTCTAGACGAGAGACATCGTAACTGGCCATTTAAAATTTTGCCTACCGGACTCTTGTCTGAATATCAAGATCTTGTTTTCCAGACAATAGCATGCATTTTTCTGCTGTCTCCAGTAAAATAAATACTTTGTGTACAGCTAGCTTCTACAATTGACGATTTTTTTCGAGAAAAATAAAATAAAAGCAAATATTTTCTTATTCGTTACTATAATTATTGAGTACTGTAATAGTTCTCGTTTTTTCCTTTTAACTTTCTTATTGATTCAAAGTATCGCTAAACATCAGGAGAAATCAGGAGAAAATGTTGAAAATCAGCTCCTGAAATCAGGAGATTTTCCGCCAGGAGAAAAGTAAAAAAACCAGGAGAATCCTGGCTAAATCAGGAGGTTTGGCAAGCCTGTTATAATGTTTCATTTTATTGTATTGAATTAGGATGGAATTCCACTTCGGCCTATTGAAAATACAATTCGTGCACCAACAATCAATATTTTCAAATTTTTAGATAAAATTCTACGCCCAATATTCGATGATAAATGTACGAAAACAACGATTATTGATGGTGCACATCTGATTACTGCTATAAAAACGTATGTAAACAAAGGTCTATTCAAGTCATCAACACTTTTTTGCACATTTGATATTCGCAATTTATATACAATGCTACTACAAGAAGAAGCATTAAATATTCTGTTGAAATTTCTTCATCTACATGGTTATAGAAAAGTGAAAGGAATTTCACTTGATTCAATTCGAAAATTAGCTGTATTGTATTAAAAGAAAATGTTTTTGTTTATGATAATAAAATCTACCAACAAACAACAGGTGGTGCCATGGGTTCATCATTTACTTTGACTTTAGCGAATATATTTATGTGGAAATGGCAAAGAGAATTAGTTCGTCAACAAGATATTACTTGTGAATTCTATGGAAGGTAACTAGTCTAAAATGAAACGACTAATAATTGTCCTCTACTCTCTTTTCAGATATATCGATGATATTTTTATGACATGGAATAGATCTGAACATGAATTGAGAAAACTATTAGATCAAGCATATACATGGCATCCAAATATTAAATTAGATTATAAAATTAGTCAAAGTCTTTCATTTCTTGATTTTCTATTAACAAATAACAATGGTATTCTTTCAACATCAGATTATCATAAACCAAATGCTAAACCATATGTTGTACCATTTAATTCGGATCATCCTCGACATGTATTCGTTAATATTATACAAACACTTCTTACAAGAGCTGTACGATATTCATCAACATTTGAAACATTTAATTATGAACGACGTTCTATCAAGTTAATGTTATTATATAATGGGTAAGCATTAGTGTATATTTTTTATTTGAATGATGTTCATCTTTATTTGTCAATAATTTCTAGATATTCCTCGTCTTTTATTGATCAACAATTTTATAAATTTTTCAATGAATCTATTTATGCTACATCAATTTTATCATTTATTGAAAATGAAAAACAATATATTCTATTATGTCACAAAATACTCGATCAACCAACACCTGAGCAATCACACGCAACATCAAGAGCAGCTACAGCTGATGTTGATAACGATCAAACTGATGTTACTGCAGAAACTACATCGCGAGAGTGGGTCGCAAAGATTCAGAAAAAGCCAATGAATTATGCAGATCGATTATTCCTCCACTATAAACATGAAAAACGATTTCGACCGTTTAAAAGAAATATGCATCGGGTCTATCAAAACGTCTTCAAAAACACACCAGCTATGGATCTTCGATTAATTGTAGGTAATCGTAATCGTCGTAATGCGAAAAATGAACTTATACGAAAACGTCCAAAGCGATCACTATTACAATGCAAACAAATACAAAATAAATACAAGAAAATGTTAGGCAAATTATTATCTTAATAGATATCTATGTTTGAATGTATTTTACTTAGAACGACGAAAACAAAACAAGAAATTTGTTACTACTAATGTTCAAACTAATAATACATAAGAAATATTCACATTAATTACTACGAACAATAATGAATAAAAATTATCATAATCAAGCAATGATTTAATTCATTTTATTTACTTGCATGCTTTCTCTTTTCTCTTTTAATATACTAGCATGGTTTTTATTTGCATAATACTTTATACGATATAATTCGTTTACATTTTATTTAATTCATTTTAATGTTCTAATACAAAATAATATTATTATTATTATTCTAGATATATTTTGTGCAGATCATATGCATGATATTAATTAATTTCTACAAGAACTGCCCTTGGGAACAGATATATTGACCAAATCAAACATATGTAACAGAAGATCATCTTTTAATCTCAAAAATATCAGGCAAAATACAAATTTATTATAATCAACTAATGTGATAAAGCACAACAAAGTATATATTATTCATTTCCGATATAAAACACAACATTATCTTTATGTTCCTTCAATACTTGATAACTTTATCAAAAGATATTGATTTGAAAGGTGATCCTTATTAAATTGAAACAAACTCTATATTATGCCAGCTAGTCTTATTATTTCTACTTCAGATATTTTACTTTATTCTATTACGACAGCATGGTTATAGAACCGATGCACAGTCAATAGTTGCAAAATTTATATGATAATTTTATAAATCATGATGTTAATCAAAATTAACAGTTATTAAATTTCTACAAATTTAATCTGAAGGTATGCTTATATTTAAAATGTTTTACATAAAAAAGATCATACCTATTTATGATATCGTTCATTTAAAGAATATTCTTCATAGACCTAATGATTATTTTCTTAACATGTTTTTGTTAGTGTTTAAATAATTTCTTTTAAATATTATTTGTGGATTTTATATTCTTAAATTTCTATTGAAGTGAGTTTTTTCCATATCCTTAGTCTATCAATTGAGACAGTTACGATTTAAATAACATTAAATTTATTAATAATTGTTAGATATTTTTATTAAGCATTGAACTTATCATAGAATAAGATACGAATTAAGCAATCAATTATACTCATTTCTGCCAACTAGAATAAATTATATGATCATTTTCGACGATTAATCGATGAATCCATACACAAAATTCTATTTATATCTCTTCGAATAATAAGCACCTTTTCATTAGAGTATGTTATTTTTATTTATTTCTACGAATGAACCGGAATTATATGTTAGTCTAATGCTGTTAGATTTTAAAAAAACTAGATTCTTCTGACCTCTGATCAGTTACTGTGTGTCTCTAATCTATTATAATAATTTTAAGTCTTGTTTTGTTTAATTATTTAATTTTTTAAAATAGTACTATGAATTAAAGATCTAAGCGATCTTCGGGTCTTACAATACCAGATCTAGTGGTTCAGCTCTTCTTAAATGTTTCTGTAAGTATTAATATTCAATTAAGATGCCAATAAATGAAGTATACAAACGAGTTTCTTAGTCAAACTATTATGTTGTTATTTCATTTCTCATGATTCTAATAACTTAATTCAAATTCCCTATACTTATTATTATCAAATATCATGACCAAAAAGAGTTACAGATAAATTAGACTATTATAAACATTAATAGGTCAATGAATTGTAAATATTTATTGTTCTAAACAGTGTGCCACAATAAAGAATTTAGTCTTAATTAATATCATATTTATTTTATGTATTAATAATGTGCTAAGAGACAAAAAGTAGATATACAATTTATCTTTATTAGTATATATTTCTTCCCTTTCTTTCCTTCTTTTCTATTGTTTATACATTATTTTCTTTTTATTCTCTTCTCTATCATTCCATGACTATATGAATGAAACAGAATATTTGCACGTCTCAAGAACATTTTCTTCTTTTTATAAACAAAAACAACCACGCATATGCACATATTTACACGTATAATTTAAATTCCAATGCACGCCTTCATATTCTTATCTACATCACAATTTCTCCTACATATCTTAGTGCGTGGTATAGAAAAAAGTTTTTCTCTCTCTCTCTATACATATAAATACCCATAGCTTTTTCTTATATATTCATACTTCATTTCAAAGCATATATAAGTAAGTACCTCCTATATTTCTTATAAACTTTTAACAATAGATACTATTAATCTTTATATTATACCAATCTTATTTAGAACTTTACCATTACACAATATTCACGGTATATAATACCAAAATTGATTATTTCTTATTCCACATAATCTACAAGTCAGGTATCCTATACAACTAATCTTGTCAAAGCAAAAACCGAATGATACAAACTACAAACCAATCTATTTAAAACAGACAATATTCCAATGAAGCCGATAGTTTCTTGAACATACATATTGATAAAGACCAACAATATTACCATACTAAACCAACCATATTGAAGTAATACTTGTTTAATAACTTAATTTACGTAAACTACACACATATTTCTATATTCAACATAGACCACGCAAAAAGAATACTACCAATCAATTATCCGAAAATATATTGTACCCATTTCATTATTCCACATATTCAAAGAAATATCATTAAAGTAAGATACCTCCTTGTACTTTGCCTACTCTTCCTACTTAAAAACAATTTATTAACAACTAGATTACCTTTCACAGGACAATCAAGAAGAAACATGCATTTATTTTAGTTAACTTGAATGATCTATCATGAACAACTACATTATTTAAGAATCATCAAATGAGCTTAGCAGAAGTGAAATCTAGATTATAGTAGCTAGTACACACCCACACCCACACCCTTCTAACAGAATTTTTTTTTCAAAGTTTTCGCCGACGTTTTCCACAGGCATTTTTTTCTTCGAACATGGTTTATTTTATTTAAGATGATATTCTAAGTGATATATGACTATTTCTAAAGATATAGGAATCCATTTTCAAGGAAGAAAATTAAATGTCTGTCTAGCATACGAAAGTTTTCCACTGTGTGGAAGGGCTTCTATTATGGCAAGGAGTTCTAGAAAAGAGTTAAAAACCAACTGAAATCAGGAGGAATCGTAAAAAGCAGCTCCTGAATTCAGGAGAAAAGTTTAAAAATTAGAAGTCTCTTGATCAAATCAGGAGGTTTGGTAACCCTGATATCAACCAAAACTAATTGAATGATTCAAAATCCAATACAACATTTGTATCAAAAATAAAAAAATGATTTATTATGTACTTTTTCTTAAAACTTCATCATACTCAATGGGACGGCACGAATTTTGCAGTACAGACTTTCGCATTCCCCACTCAATGTGATGAAAGAAATAAAGATTCATGATTATAAAGATAATTTATTAGTTAAGAAATAAAAATGAGATATTAGTATAAAGTAGAATAATATGAGATTAGTAAGTAAGGTTAAAAATAAAAAGTATGGTTAGTTGAAAAAAGAAAAAGTGTTTCTATTGTTCAGTTAAAATTTGTTTTTAGATGACAGGCATATTTGTTGTTGTCTTCTTTCGAAATACAACTCGCCAATATTCTGAACGTCCTTGGCTCATGTCTTCATAAATTTCAGTACCAGATAATCCAGCAAACAGACGAAAATATTCTTGTTCTTCAGATTGAATATAACGTTGAATGAAATCAGTACGATATTTATTTTGAATGTCAAGTGCATAAAGAACATTCTTTGTAATATTAATCTTTTCTTCAATAATTAATTCATCATTTGCTATTAGATCATAAACTGATGTACCTGACCCATTCTTATAACAAACATCACACCATAGAAGATATCCATTTGGACGAAGTACACGAACGACTTCATTAGCAAACTGTGTGGCTGCTATTCGTTCGCCAAAAGCCTGTGTTGCTTCAATACAGAGAATAATATCAACTGACTCATTTTCGAATGGTAAATGGTTTGTTGCATCAGCTACTACGAACGAAAGTCGAGGGATTGTCGAATAAAGTCGCTGACATAAGTTAATGACATCTTGAGAAGGATCTATTCCAATATAAGAGTGAGATGCATGAGTATGAATACACCATGCAGCACCAGCACCTCTACCACAGTTGATTTCAAGGACATTCTTATCTGTTAATGTTACATTTGCAAGAACCTAGAAAAATAAAACAAAATATTTCAGTCATGGCTTGTATATCGGAAAAGTCACAAAAATTCTCGATCTTTCTTTGTATATCAACTCGACTATATGTAAATAAGTTGATTTGAATGATTTTCTTTTCTTATTTAGAGTATATAGCATTTAATAGAACAATCTTATATTCATATCCACACTAATTCCTTATATATTAAAGACAATGACAATCTTTGTTAGTAGTGGATGCGAAGTAGGACAAAAAAGAAACACTAAAATAGAGTCATGTATTCTTTTCTACATACCTGTTCATAAAGCTTTCTTGAATAATACCCAGTATGATCATCGATATATTCATCCATATCGGCATAGCCATAATTCATAAATTGTAATTCGTTTACATTCGTATAGATACTTGCAATTCGTTCGTACCAGAGGAACAATTTGTTAATGGTCTCGTATCCTTGATGATATTTAACTAGATCGTTATGAACTATTGTCGGTCGAGATAATCTTGTTTTTACTGTGTAAGATTCTAAAAGAAAGAGATTTAATATAATACAACAATGAATGAATTTATATGCAGCAATTCGAAGTAAGCAGTCAAACCTCAAATGGAACTATTTTAAAAATTAAAATATCAGAGTACAAATATTCGAAAACGTATGATAAACATAAAAAGGTGTAAGACTTTTGTGTCCATTTCGAAAATAATGTAATGTACAATCTTATCAAGATCTTTGATGTATAGTTATTTAATTTTTTAGTCTAATTATAAAACGTTACGAATTCGATACTCTGTCGTATCCTCGTAGTATCATATATTTCAGAAAAATATCGATCGTCAATTAATTTTGTGTCACAAATTATTATTTATTAATATAAAATGATAGTTTTAAACTGATCTAATACTAGTACAAGACGCTGATAATTAATTATAAGTTGAAGCTGGCAAAGAGATGTAATTAAATTTCGTATCAACAAAAGAATACGATAAAAATAGATTCAATGTATAGTATCTCTTATATTATGGTCAGTGAAATAGTTTAGAAAAAATCTAGTATCAGTGAAAAAGAACATTAGTCAAATGATTTTTATCATGGCTTGCCAGCAGACGACCTAGAAAATGTTATACTCAATTAAGCTTCTTCTATAAGAACTATTATATAAGCATTTCGAAGAACAGTACATCTCATTAAAAAGAAATGATAGGATATAAAAAATGAACATTAATAACGATTAGACAATATCTTGGAAGTCTTATATGAGAACAGATCATCTGTCTACGTGACTTACGTGCAGGAACTCCTTTCCAGTGAGTATCCGGTGGTAATTGATCATTTTTCATTATTAATGTCAAAGGATAAAGACGACTGTTACCCATTAATTTGCAGCCTGCCATTACATTCGTGCCACTCATCAGTATACATGAGTTACCGATTGATACAGGTGCTAGTTTAAAAATACGTTGTTCGAAACTGTGACCCTGAAAAGTTTCAGAAAAACAATTTTATGTGAAAGTAAATAACAAAAAACTTATGTAATACTTGTATATATGCATGCACATTAAGTCGAACATCATCTCCAATAGTCAACAAATGATAATCGGAAGTACATATATCAGGCACTATACAATTCTCACCAATATGAGCCCCATATGCTCCAAATAGTCGAATGAGCCATTGCGTATTACCAAGAAATGGACAAATCAATTGTGCATAATCTTGAGTTACTCTTGCTATTATTTGTTCTATAATTTGATGGCGTATATATGAACGACATCGATAAAGGCCACATACAAGCATTGTATGAATGATTGATCCACCAACGAGACCACCAAATGAATAAATGCATAATAAAAGACATTTGCTGACATAATGAGACAAACATGTACGCCAAAATGGTATGATTTCGATCTGATCTTGTACTGTTGACCTTACAGGCATCTGAAATGGCATTATACGAGCTGAAACACCCATGAAAACGTCTCCATATTTGCTTTTTGTCTCTCGCGAGATACGTGTTAAATTGCCAATCATTGTCTCAGATGCAAGGCAACTACCAGGCAAGATTGAACATCCATTGACAAGGTTTGCATGAGATCCGAGCACTATTTGATCCACACGATGATCACCTGAGAATGTCAACTCAGTAGGAACTATTAAAACTCCACCAAAAGCAGTGACATCTGTTTCAAGTTTCAATAGATTTGTTGGACAGGATAGAAAAGTGTCTATCCAAGCGAGTTTAACATTTTCTTCAATATGAGCACCTAACCAACGGAGAACATAGGGATAAAGATAATTGTAGCCAGTCGGTAATAGCCATGCATGATGAAAACTAGATACAATTAATTGACGAAGCCATATTTTTTGTAAATATAACCAAGATGCTATCGAGTATATGTCACCAGCAGCACAGGGTCCTGCTACGAATTTCAACAGGAGAAGCGAAATAAAACAACCAATAATTGACCATAAAGTCCAACAAAAAGCAATACCGATTACTAGTGGTATTTGTCTAACCGAATAAACTTTATATATTATCATCAAAAGTGTACAATGAATACATATTATCGAGATGATTGCAATAATTTGGTAGATCTTATGTCATATGGATAATGATCTATTACTCTGCACAACAGAAATGTCTGACGGAAGAGATTTGTGTTCTTCACCATCAACAATCGTTTCAGATGCTACGAAGCCAGTGACTGATGACATTGGTTGAACAATAATATTATTTTGCATATTAATTCCATCAAATAGAATCGATCGTGTACCTATTGAACAATTAGATCCAATTCTAATTGGACTCAGTTTGAAAGTGTTATCATCATTAAAATATAAACAGTTCAGACACGTTTCATTAGCAATCCAACTTCCATCGTCAATTTCTAACAACCACGGAGCATCGATAGTTGTGGTATAAATATGCGTGTTGAGACTTATTCGCGAACCACAAAGACGAAGATAATAATTGTACAGTGGTGTGCCAAGCATATGCTGTAACCAAAATGTATTATTATTCCATAGTCGATCTAAAAACCACCATCTATAATAACTCCAAGGGAAAAGATTATCAGTTCTGATGTAGCATGGCGATAGTAGAGTGAGCAAATGACGTAGAATAGAAGATGACATATTGGTAGGATAGAAAAGAAAGTACACACCATTGATGAGTTATTATGGTTGGCAATAACTACTAGCAAATCAGAGTGCAATACCTGAAGATTCGACGACAAATGAAGGTGCCAGAGTCGAAACTAAAAAGAAAGATTTTCCGGAGTTAATATCGGACTCCGATCGGAAGACTAATTAAATTGTTTTTTTTCCTCAAAAACAAGTTTATTCATAAAACTTAATTTGATATATGAAGCATACTTTTTATTTCATGAATAAATTTCAAGTAAAAATAATAATATAAGAAAGACATTTATATTAATCGTGGGTATGGATATGCGAAGAATACAATGCCAGTACCTACCCACACCCATCTCCACACCTTCGCTACCCTGCAAAAACAATTTCGGAGTCTTTCGGAGCCCCAGTCGGAATTAACTACAGTTTTTCTCGGAATCAAAGTTGGTGTCAGAATTAAAAAAAGAAAAAAAACAAAATCGGAGTCACAGTTGGAATCGGAATAAAAAAAATTCAACTCCACAGTGTTCTATGTCCGTTGAACATCTGTCCCATGAATTTCATTCACTTCGGAAGCTGTCTCTTGTAGTTCTTCCAAAGCTAATATAGGTTCTATTGCTTGAGCCAATTGTCGAATAGATGAATTAGTAAATAAAAGACCGGTTTGAACTTTATTAGAGACCTGTTGACGGATCAATGTAAGTGCATGGATAGCACTCAATGACGTTCCACCAAGTTGACCAAAAGGAACTTCAACATCAGGGGATTCAATATGTATAGCTTGACTAAATATATCTTGTAACTGTTGTTCTAAGGTGGTGCGCGGTACATTATTATCATGAGTATGACTTGACGACGACAAATCAGGTGGCGGTAGAAGTTTTCGATCTATTTTTCCATTTAAGTTCAATGGTAATTTGTCAAGTATAACAAAAAACGATGGAATCATATGAGGTGGAAGATGAGATTGACAATGTTCACGTAGTTTTTCTTCATTGATATGAGAAGAAGATTGAACATACGCAACTAAATAATCATCATTCCACTTCATGACAACACAAGCAGAAATAGATATAATGTTAAGTAAACATCGTTCGATTTCACCAAGTTCTATTCTTTGTCCATGAAGTTTGATTTGATGATCTTTTCTTCCTTGATAATGAAGAAGACCATTGTTATCCATTGTAACAAGATCACCTGTTCGATAAAATAGATCGCCATCTATTTCAACAAGAACTTTTGCAGTTAAATCATCACGTCCAAGATAACCAGCAAAGACACCTGCTCCTCCTACACACAGTTCACCTTCTTGATTGGTGGCAGATGATTGTAAATATTCACTCATAATCATACATCGATAATTAGAGAGTGGCGAGCCAATTGGAATGCTCTGTATAGTACTTGTAACGTGGATACGGTGAACTGTACAATCTATGGTTGCTTCTGCAGGACCGTACATATTCCATATAATACAGTTCGTTATACTGATTTTCCTTATCAAGCCAATTAAATGAACGGAAAAAGCCTCACCTGCAACAGAAAAGATACATGCGATAAACCGATGAGATTGCTTCGAAAATCACTTACCACCACTACAAAATGATCGAAGATATTTTACAGCATTCATGTTCCTGTTCTGTTGAATAAAACTGAAAAATACGTGTAGTAAACTTGGTACGGCTTTTAAATATGTGATTTGTTTGTTCTGCAAGACTTCGGATAAATACATGAAATCAAGAGTTCCATGTGGATGAAGCATAATCAATGTGCCTCCAACCAACAATGTACCAAGTATTTCTAGAGCATGAATATCAAATGAGCATCGTGCTATTTGTACAACAGTATCATCTCTGTTAAATAAGTTAATGTAAACGAAGGAATTGATGCAGTCAATAAAGTTCTTGTGTCTAACTTGAACCTATGAAAGAGCACAAACATTAATCACAAATCGAAAAATTAAGTGAAAACAAACCGCTTTGGGTGTTCCAGTTGAGCCACTAGTGAAAATAATGTAAGCTATCTCTTCTCTTTTCACTATCATACTTAAAAGGCAAGAATCATCTATGTCACGATTCATATCATTAATATTAAATATTGAATCGACACTAGGTAAGACAATATTATGATCGAATTTCATCTTAGTTAAATGATGAACAAGAATAAGACGACTTTGTGTTTGTTGTGCAAGTGCATGTAAACGATGCTGTGGATCTCGAGGTGATAATGGACAGTACACACCACCACTCATCTCAATTGCCATTATACCAATCACCTATAAAATATGAAATCTTGGAAAAGACTAAATATCAATCTAAAAAAAATAACTCACCATTGACAAACTTCTCTCGACACATTGGCAAATGATTTCACCTGGAACAACATGATATTTTCTAATCAAATGCAAAGATAAGACTTGGACATAATGTAAAAGCTCAGCATATGTCAAAGACTGTTCATCAAGTTCAACAGCTAGTTTTTGTGGATGTTTCATTACTTGACATACAAATTCATGATGAATACAAGTGACAGGAGATGAAAATGATATTTGTGTATTATTCATTGATTGCATGAGTAATCTTTCATTTGGTAATGTTACTGGTATTTCATAGATTGATTTATTCATTTGATTATCAACAGACATAAATAATTGTTTCAAGATTGAATGAAATCGTTGAGATATTTTATCAATTGTTTCTACATTGAATAAATCAAGTGATGCATTGATTGTGCATGTGAGTTGATTGATATGGATATCATGTTGGATTATAACTGAGAAATCATATTTATTTCTAATCTCAGTATCATTAATATTCGTTGTCAAAGGTATCGAAGAAAGTTGACTATCACCAATCATTATTAGTTTATTATCCCTTCTTGTCATCGATGATAAAAATTCAAATGATATATCAAGGCATGGTGGTTTTGAAACATTTGGATGTTGATTGAGAATACGTTGAAGTGGAAAATATGAATATTTCATACTATTTGTCGTTATCTCTTGAACATAATCGAATAGATATTGAAAAGACCAGTGTGGATCTAGTTGACATCGTAATGGAATGATATTCTCAAACAGTCCAACTATAGATTGTAGTTCGTCCCTATAACGATTGTCAATATTCATTGAAATACATAAATCTTTTTCACCATTCGTTAATTTAAATAAGAAGATAAAGTAAAGAGCAAGTGCTAGATGTTCATGTTTGATATTGTTTGATGATGCATAGAGAAGAAAATGATGGGAAAGATCTTGACCAAAATCAAAAGAGATAGATGTTATTCGATTAGTTCGATGTTCATTCATGAGACGATATCGATCGTATGGTAATGGCAAAGGCTGATCGAGTTTACAATCATGCAGAGCATCAAGCCAATACATACTTGCACCAGTCATTGACATTTGTTGTTCAATAAAAGCATCTAAATAAGAAGAAAGAAAAAGTAGTTTGAATAGAACAAAGAGTTGAATATACTTACAATCGATATAACGTAGAGTAGAATTATTATCAGTTGTGAGTTGACCTGTTTTGTAAGCTTGATCAAGATCATGAAGGAATATATTCATTGATGGATAATCAAAGAAAGCATGATGAAAATTGAAGATAATTATATCTTTATCAGAAAGAATGTTGTTTGAAGAGATTTGTTTATGGTAAACAATATGAGATCGAAAGACAAGACCTTGAGCAAGATCGAAAAGTTGAGGATTACATTTCTCATTTTCGATGATGCGATTGAGTTGTTCATCTGTTTCATAACTGCTTTCAGTAATTGTGAACATGTCATTATTAATATTTTGTTGAGTACGAACTCTCTGCATGAGTATATTTTTGTTAGAATCATAGATGAGTGATGTATGAAGTGATCCATGTTTGGTTACAGTTAGTTGAAGAGCATGACGAAGTTGTTTTACGGATAAAATATCTCCTCTGTGGAGACGATAGAAAAATGACACATTATGGGTCGTTAAAGATGATTGGTCAGTATCGACATCTCTTTGATTTCCAGACCATATTCGATATTGTGCAAAGGATGCTGGTGCTATAAAAATTAAAGTTGAATTGATTACAATTAATAATCATAACAACCAATTGCTCTCATCATATTATAGTCATTTTTGTTTATCTATTTTCTAACTGAATTAAATCAATATCGTTGCTTGGTATATGAGTCAACAAAACAAAATTTAAAAATATCATTCATGAAGATTTGCATCAAAACTAACTATGATTACTAAAAGCTTTTAGTAATGAGGTTTCGAAACATTACAGGAATATTTTCACGAAGAAAAGTTTTCACGAATCTCGTGTTATTTCATTTAATTGAGCTTTCATCAGTATACATCAATATGTGCAATACATGTTATATATATTGTTCAAGACTGGAACAATAAACTTTTTGGAAAAGAAGTATAAAGAAAATTTGAAAAGTGAAGCTGAGATCTCAAGTTTAGCTAGGTTTTCAAATAATGATGTCATCATATACATGTGTCAGAGTAGAGAGCATATTACAAATAGATCAAAAAAAAGGAGGAGACACCTGATTTTGAAAAATCATCGTAATAGTGAGATGTTACTTCTTCACATTTTCAATTCAACAAACAAGAAAAACCTAGTATAGCTAGAATATAATAAATCATGCTGTTTCGTTTGTATCCTTCCTTAACGCTAATCTTTTTCATCAATATAAGTATTATAGCCTTGAAAACATTTTAAAAATGGATATACCTTCATTGACAATATTTTCCAGTTTATAAAACGCTATTGTGTATATCTCTTCACTTTCTTCATGTAAAACAAGAGAGAGTTTGCTGATCGATATATTATATCCGTTCATCAAAATATTACTTGATTTGCTATCAAAAATCTGCTCGCAAAGATATTTCAATCTTCGACCTATTACCGCAGCTGTTGTTGCATCAAATATATCATGTGAACAAATCAAAGAACATGATAGTTGATTATTATTTGATGATAAATTGTAAAGAAACCTTAATGAGAAGTCAAATTTAGCCATTTCATATGGTTCATTTAACGACACTTCTTCTAGATTGACACCATTCAAACATAATCCGCTAGCATCTTCTGATATAGTGATAAAATCAAACATTGTTTCAAGAAATGATACATTTGATTGAGTAAGATGTAAATCACCAAGAATATGCTGAAGTGGATAATGTGAATGTTCAAGAATTGATAAACATTTTTCTCGTACATATTTAACTATTTCATCAAATGACCAATGAGGGTCAAGTTTAACACGATGTGGTGATGTTGATACAAACATTCCAATCATATCCACTAATTCACTTCGATATCGATTAGCATTGATAGAAGAAATACATAAATCAGTCTCACCATGAGTTAATTTGAATAGGAATACATAAAATATGGATAATCCAAGTTGAAAGAGTGTGAGATGATGTGATGATGCATAGTTGAGAAATAATGTGCATAGTTCATTATCAAAAGTGATTTCAGTTGAGGATGCTAAACCTGAACGTTGTTGATTAGTTGGTGAACGTTGTCGATCAACTGGTAATGATAAGGAACATTCGATATTGTATCTTTCAAGTTGAGAACGCCAGAATTCACGAGATAATGACATATCCATTATGTGTTCAAGAATAGAATAATCTATATAGTTCAATGTATTTTCATCTATAGATAAAGAGTCATCAGAATGATAAGCAAGAGAAAGATCACGAATGAAGATTGATGTTGACGCTCCATCAAACATTGCATGATGAATAGTAAATAATATTAGATCATCTTTAGACAATAGATCATCATTATTGTGAGTGAATGAATGATTTGATTGATCATGACGAAGAATATGACAATGAATAACATGTCCTTTTGATAAATCAAATAAATCAGCTTGATTTAATATTTTTTCAATAGTTTCATTCATATGACGACGATCATCATTATGAAGATTAATGATTGTGAATCCATTTAATTTCATATTATCGTTGGGAATGATATTTGCATCTAAACAATGTTGTACAATATTACCATTTGTATCATCAATATAAAGGGCTGTTCGAAGAATATTATGTTTTGTGATAGCACTTTGAAATGCATGATATAATCGAGTAATTGATACATGATCATTTATAGATGATATCCGATAAAGTAATGGAATAACATACATATTATTCATGATTGTTTTGTTGGATGAAAAGCGAATTTTCTCATCTAAATAGATCCGTTCTTGTGCAAATGATGCTCTAGCTAGAATGAGAAACAAAAAGATAAATAAGTAGTTCATAATAATATCCAGTTGAAGCCGTTTTGTTTACCTTGAGTGAGATATAATGGAGACCAAGAAATATTATCTAGAGTGTGGATGGTATCGACAGATTTCTGAATGAGTTGAGCATGATGAATAATT